ATCCGGTTGTGCTACTCGAATCATGCTTTTTCGAATCATCCTTCTATCCTCTGCGCTTAGCCAAGCTGTGCTCATCGCGGAAGTGAGTGTTGACTTTGTGTATATCTTCACGGCTTTGATAGCGACTCCAGCAGACGTTGTTCTCAGTGTAAGCGACACTTCACTGGATGTGAAATGTGCGGTAGATCCTCCGAAGCCGCCAATCTTGAAAGTGGTGTTTTGGAGCACTGGTAAGCAAGAGCTTGGGTCTTCTTTGTATTGATGAAGCTCTTTTGTGCACCTCCATCGAAGAAAACAGTCACGGGCTTATAGCTGGTCGATGTGTAGTCGTATGCGAGTGCAGTCGCCGTCATCAGTACGTACTGCATTACTCCTTCTCGCTTCGTGCTTTTGTTGTGGAGAATTTCAGAATTTTGCGCAAATTCAGGGTCGCTCGTAAGATGTTGGTCGCGAGCAGATCGTTGCTGCGATCGTCTGATTGAGGTGCCTCTTGATGCTGAGTAGTCACCCATGCATATGGCAGTGTGGTGTTTTCCGTGACAGTTGTAGCAGGACTGTGAGCTTGTACAATCACTAATCCTGTGATCGGTTTGAAGACATCTGAAGCACAGCCTTTGTTTCCTGGCTTCATCACGTCGCTCTGCCGCTGTTTGGAATGTTATGCATCGCGTCGCATCATGTTGATAACTTCCGCAGATGCATTGAGCACTCGAATCTCTCGAAAATGTACTTCTTTGGTTATGTTTATAATTGTATGCGATTGAGTCTTCTTCGTAGCTGCCTCTCATCAATAGCTTGATCGGAATCGGAACGTCCCGCGACATCGCACTGTTCAAATGCAGATGTTGTAAAAGCGAGGGTTTCCTTCAAAGCGACTGCATCTTCCAGAACATCTAAGATTTGCTCTGTTGTAAATGACTTTTCTTCATTCTGCTCTTTGCAAAGTACTTTCTCGTTCAGCGAGTTTGGAAACTTTGAAAGTATTAGTCGCCTCCACATTCGGTTGTTGTCCACGGAACTCCTGCACATTCGATGTAAGTGAGCCTTTCGGTCACACTAATCAGAGCTTGTCTGCAGCTGTAGGCATCTTCTTCTGCTCGTAGAAGCCTTTCGAGCTCTGTGATAAGCAGATCTGCTATGCATCCAGACTTGTTGAAGCGTTTATCGAGAAGTTGTATGGCTTTATCGTAGTTTTCTCCAATGACTGGCGTATTCCGAGAAGTGAAGCTGCTGTTTCTTTTAATGCCTGTCTCAAGAAAAGGAACTTGTCCACGTTGCTGAGCTGCGGGTTGCTATGGATCAGCGAGTTGAATATTGTCCAGAAAGTTGGATACTCCTTATAGCTGCCATCAAAGGTGGGAACTTCGAGCTGCGGTAGTCGTACTTTGTTCCCAGAAGACTGCCTTGTCGATGCGTAACTCTCAGGCTCTCACTGAACTAGAACGTGATGACGTCGTTAGGGTGTGGGCTTGGATCAGATTCGATTGCTTCTCCAGTTCCCTTTTTCGGTATTTCAGCCTATTTGTCCAGTGAACGCCTTCAAGCTGTAGACGGTTTGCTTCTGTGCTCAAGAAGATAGCCAAATCGTTCATCAATCTGTCCTTGTCTGACTGGTCCTTTTTTGCTCCAAGAAAATTCATGGCAGTTTGCACTTGGGCCTCTAGGTTCTCCAGTAAACATGTTAGGGAGATTTGCAGTTCATCCATCTCTGCCATTTTATCCGCTATAAAGGCGTTGCATTCGGTTGCAGTGTTGGGAAATTCGAAAGCTTTATCAATACTGCGGACCTTGTCCTCAAGACCGCTGATTGATGAGCAAGCCATAGAAATGCGAGCTTTGTATAGAGTTAGCTCAGCCATCGTCTGCCTTGTGCGCATGGACTTGTTTCGCTTGAGCTCTCGTCGTCTGCGTGCTTTGGCACTGCAGGTGTCTGCTTTGGTAGAAGAGTTCCGGCTGGGTACTTAGTACGCGCAGCTGTCCAGAACTGTGTGGAGGTTGGCTGGGCCTGAACCTCTGTAGAATTTTTTCTTGCTGGATGCAAGAAAATTAGTCACTAGTGAGCTTAGCAGTGGATTGCGTAGCTTCTTCTAGTTACTTAGCAAGCGTGCCGTTGGCTTGAACGCTGTGCTGACTGGTTAGGTTTGGATCCTGCCCAGTGCGAGTTTGAGGAGACCTTGTAATTTAATAGTTTTTAAGTGAACTATTAAAGGTGTACCAACTGTTTTTTATTTACTAACCCCTGGTCGTCTTACTAGAAGAGATCACAGAAGAGTTCAATTTCAGTGGTAAGGTCTTCAGCTGGAGCTTTTACTACTTTCTGGTCGTCTTACGAAAAGAGAGCTCAGAAAGGTTCAATTAACCAGTGGTTTCCTCAGCTGACGCTTTTACTACCTTCTGGTCGTCTTACGTAAAGAGAGCACAGAAGGGTTCAATTAATCAGTGATTTTCTGCCAACTAACGCTTGTACTACCTTCTGGTCGTCTCACGAAGAGAGAGCTCAGAAGGGTTCAATAAATTAGTGGAGAATTATCAGCTGGGGCTTTTACTACCTTCTGGTCGTCTCACGAAGAGAGAGCTCAGAAGGGTTCAATTGACCAGTGAAATTTCTTCGGTTGACGCTTTTACTACCTTCTGGTCGTCTCACGAAGAGAGAGCTCAGAAGGGTTCAATCAGTGAAGAAGCCTGCCAACTAACGCTTTTACTACCTTCTGGTCGTCTCACGAAGAGAGAGCACAGAAGAGTTCAATTAATTAGTGGAGTGTCTGCCACGCAGGACTTTATCAGCTTTTTGGGTAGCAAACGCCAGAAAGTGAACCGTAGGCCGAATGCACCAATTTGGTATACACCAAGCTGGTACCACTACGTTGTAAACTGTTTATTGGATAGTAGCGGAGCAGCCGCTGACTATCAACAGTGAATATGCGGAACAGCCGCTGACGATAGTGGTAGTATACCGAACCAACACCTGAACTGAGTATTCAGGCCCTTTTATGCCACTATTTTGGGCGTGGATAACCTGAACGCTCACTTCTGGTAAACAATAGTATCATACAGCATGAAGGACTACATAAAAGTAGGCGCCGCCAAGTAGGCTATCAAGCACAGCGGAGGGGTGACCTGGCGGCTTAAGTGGTCAGTGAACAATAAGGTTTGTCAACGACAAGTTAACAGATATACTGAATATAACATACACGGTAGATCTACAATGCTAAAGGTTGTAGATTATTTGGATAATCTACGACACTATCTTAGAATTTTTCTGATTTTGCTGCGACTACAGAGGGAGCCTCATATAGGAAGCAGAGCGTCTGCCTGCATGCGTGTTTATGTATTTGGTTGTCTATTGTCCATGTTTGTCTATGTTTGTTTATTTCTCAAATTGAAGAAAAACCTTGCCTCCCATTCCGATCAAGTCAGCAGACAAACGATTAAAAAAAAAGAAGAAAAGCGGTTTCAATCAAAATCGTTTGCTCCTCAATCTGTGGAGTAAAAACCAATGAGGAGGGAACAATCAGTAATCATGGTAATCACCCATTAGTTTCATCATAGAGATTAGAACTCTATCGATAATCTCTGTACATTCCTGCGAATATGCGCCTTGTCACTGATGAAATTCCCGTTTGAAAGTGGGAGTTCGAAAAAAGGTGCAGATCTACTTGTGTGTAAAGCAAAAACATCTACAAAACAAACTTAGCTACTCCTTGCACCATAACAGTTCTTGAGACTTTGCGGATTCGTGCATGTCAGTTATGCCGTGCAATCTTCGAAAAATGTGGCTGATTCTCTCTTATGAGGTAAAAAACAATCTGAGTAAGAAAGATCAGTAGAACAAAAAAGGAGCCCTCTTTCTGCATCCATTTCCACACATATCATTGTCGACAGTCATGTCGGGGTCCGAAAGAATACTCGAGTAAAATACAGAAGAAGGGAATTGCAAGTTTTGTCGCACAAGAGACATTGATTCATGTCATCCATCAGAACATAAGAGTTTCCGAAAGCGTGTCAAGCGTGCTGACGCTTTGAGTTTAGCGCGATCCCTGTGCGTGGGAAAATGAGGAAAATAGTACACTGACTAGAGGAGGCACACTGCGAACCCAATGGGTTCCGGAACCCACTGGGTTTGTTGATAAATACGGCCCTAGAGTAATCTGGGAGGAGAGAAGCACTGACTTGGTAACGGCTGGACCCCGCAAGTCATTGTGGTTCGCACGCATACGATTGCCTGTTCGACTATGAAGTAGTGCTATCCTTCCGTCCTTTGTTGTCGCGCCTGTGGGGAGTGTCGTAATAAAGCATGCATTTCTTTTGCGTATCAGCAGTTTATCAGCTTATTCTCAGAACAGTAATGTGTTTCGAGCTAATGTATCTTAGCTCGTCATTTACCAATGACGTGGCACTTACAAGGATGTGCAGATATCTAAATACCCATTGATGGACGATGTCTATTAGCTTCTTCCTGGGGCGAGGTCAAACCAAGAAGTACTTTGGGTTTAGGAACAAGTTACTAATTGTAAGATCTGGAGGGGGATCAACTTACATGTGTCTGATTCTAACTGAAGAAGTACTGCGGGATTTGGTAAGTCTCCAGGGGACAATTCACTCTTACAGTGTTTGTATTGTTGTTTTAATTTCCAAAATAAAAGTTCAGTCACCCATGTTTGAGCCTATACAATACCGCAAGGAATCCCGGTGGTAGCCACACGGTTCCATTAGCCCAGGTTTGTCTACACTAATCTCGTTACAGTCAATAGACTCATTGTCGTGAGTCAATGATCAACAAATTACATTCAGATAACTTTTTGCGTTAGGATTAGACTCCTGATTTTCAGAGTACATTGGCACATTCAGTTCATAAAACTGGGATTGTACGCAGCTTCTTGGCATCAACGAAAAGCTGAATATCTCATAACCTTCTGGAAAGACCTCGGGACGAACTAGTACATTTATCGTAGACCTTAGGCTCGCAAGTAACACATAGTTATGTTATACGGAGAACTGACCGGATTGGCCTGTCGTTCTCAGCGAATTCTACGACTTTCTCAGATACGAAATCTATCCGAGAAATTGGCCTAAAGTATTTGGAAATTTTGGAGAAAAGATTTCTATGAAGAAAATTGGCACTTACAGTAATTTTACGCTGTAGTGCAGGTTGAAAATCTCATCAGCCAGTTGTTCAAGATCGTACTCATTGGCAATATCACGCAGTACATCAACTTCTTCATCCAGTAAGTCATCAATGGGAATTTCTCTTAGCAGCAGTGCAGGCGTCTAAAACCAAAGAACTTGGGAAGTAAGTAATCTTTGTCAGTTTCTACCTGATTAGTGGGATTATCAGAAGCCCACACCAATATCGCTTGAATTATGTCCATGGCTCTGAGTGATTTACCCACTTCTTTCACGGCTGCCTATAATCACAGCTTTGACCAATCTTTATATCTTGGTTAAAACAGTTTTCAAAACCTTGACTATTCGTTCGAGGGTTGAAGAGGGACACGATACATATGGGCTTGTTTTTGAGACCTCTCCAATTTTCGCGCCAGCTATCTAAATCAAGAATAGCTCCAGTTCATGAATATCATGCCTATTTTAAGCCGCTTAATTTGAAGTTGTGTGGAGTTTGTCCGTTATGAAATTACAACGATGAACATTTACAATACTTCAAGCATGTGATATATGAAGACGAGGGTGGTTCCTTTTCAACTAGGGGTCACTCGCTTCAGACATTTTTGGAATGATGTGAGAAACCTAAGTTTACTATTAAGTTGTCCCAAAAATAAACTCCATTTTCAAATAATCTGAGCTGTTCTTGTTTTCCTGACAGACTTAAGGTACCATTCGATAGAGCAGAGCAAGCTCTACAAACAGACCACCAAGGACCTACCTAAGTCGTAATTCAGGCAAAATCTGGGGCCAAAAATCAAAATTTTCCAGCTACCCTAAAAATCGGATCTCCTCCAAGAAAATTTCTACGAACTTCCAACTTGGTTTCTATATAGTAGACACATAGTAGTACCCAAAAACGTATTTAACGGATTTTTCTCGGGGCTAAACATTGAGAAAAAAGATGGTCTGAAAATGCCAAAATGCCACTTTTTTTCAGGTTTTTAAATGTAAAACTTGGTACTTCTCGATTATAAGAACACATACAGGGTTAAGGTTTTGAAATTGCACTTAGTAGGGCCTGTAGTATACAATGACATATGTGGGAGGGGCTGAGGGCGGAGTTTGCCATTTTTTGACAATTTTTTTGTTTCTCGCTTTCTATGCTCGGAAAAAATTCGGCAAAAGCATATTTGCGTACTACTATGTGCCTACTGTATAATATCAAGTTAGAGGTCCGTAGGGCTTTTCCTCGCGAAAATCCAATTTTCAGGTGACAAAATTTTTTTCAATTTTGGCTTCACACTTTACATGGAACGGCTTAGGCGAACCCTTAGTGGTCTTTTTGTAGAGCTTGATCTGCTCTATCGAATGATACCCCAAGTCTACCAGTAAAGCAAAAACAGCTTGAATTATTCAAAAAAGGAGTTTACTTTTGGAACAACCCAATATAACATTTTCCGCGATGACTAGTGCGAGCCTCCGCAAGCAGAGGTATTATGTGAGGACTGTGCATAATGATTTATTTTCGTAATTCTGATGGTATTCCCACAGCTGCGAAATATCCCCTGCCCTGTAATTTGAACAGATCAAATTTAGAGTGGCTCGTTTGAATGCCTCTGTTCTGGGAATAATACTCTTATTACAGTTTTCGTCGTATTTCAGCGCATCTAAACAGTTTCGACCCAGAACCTTTTGAAAGTGTCGAGCAAAAATACGAAGTACAATTGTCAACAGAAAACGCTCGTGATGGCCGAGGAATGGGAACATGATGTCCATCAGCCTAATTTAACATACCATAAGGAGTTCTCTTTTAGTATCTGTAGTGAAGTTGTCGATATGATAAAGTAATATCATCAACGCGAAAGGATCGTCTGAAAGTATTACTGATGATTGATTGATCTGTGATTTGGCAGCTACTTTGCGAGGACTCACAAGAGTGAGAAAGCACAGATTCTTCAATGGCAGCTACCATATCGTACATTTCCAGCGCAAAAGCAGCAGCTAAGGCGTCTGTTAGCTGAAGATGAAATTTTTTTTAGATGTAAGTTTGGAGGTTTACTTTCTTGCGTACGGGTGAGTGACTTTTCATACGATGAGCAATTCCGAGATGCGAGGTGTGAACACCTACGGCTAAGTGTCAAGTCTCGCACCTCCGTGTCTAGTATACTGTAGAGAGGGGGGGGGGGGAGGGGGACTTTTCATACGAATGCCTCCACATCTTTTTTGACAAAGATCCGGTAAAAACTGGCACCATGCCAGGTTTGGGCCTGCTAGCTCCATTCCAAAAAAACATGCAGATCAGCTTTTGCAGTACCGCGAATTTGGATAAATTTGGAAAACTTGAATACCGTATGGATTCAAAAAGTGTTTTGCTGTGAAAAACAACACTATGATCGTACCACTTACGAATTTTTTAGTATTCAAGTCGACATAATACCGTCTCTTTTGCAAATGTTTTGAACTGATTTGAGTATTGTCACATGCCTCTCCGACCTTTCAGCATGACCTGGAAGTGTTACTCTTCCCATAGGGGATATTGAAGGGGGAAGACGGTCAAGAGGCGCGATTTTTCTGGGTGTCATCAACTTAGAACTACAGTTTCATGCTATGGGGAAATTCAAAAAGTGCCGGACAAGGTTCATTGGCTTACTAGCTGTTTGAAGTAACCACTTGATAATTTTGACGACTTTCGCTAGATAACTGACAGAAATATTTACAAAACTGCTGTTAACTGCATTTTTATGTGTTTTTGACCTTCAAGAATTTTGTTTGAAATCGACTTCAAGATGATGAGATTGAACAATCCCTAAATTCCCTAATATATTTCTTTCAAAATTTCAAGTAATTCTAGAACTCATAAAACACTAAATTTGTGCTATATGCTGCCCATCTGGCAATAGGATTCTCGCCTCTTGACATATCTACATCTATTGGAGGGCATGCGACTCGATAAAGCGAACTATTCATTACCACAGTTGTGCCAGTTGTTTGCGAGAATGAGTTCGCTGTGGCCTGACGATCTTAACTATGATACGCTATTTCAACCCGATAAGCTTCAAACAGATAAAATCAAGATATTCTTTAGTTTACGCATTTTTGATGATGAGCGTTTCATTTTAGTCCATTGTAATCGATAAATGGACTTATTACCAGCACCCCAGCATACGCTAGAAGGTCAAAGTGATCGGGGAGCGTTCGTATGAAAAGTCCCCCTCCCCACTCACCTAGGCGTAGTGGAGAATCTTACTTATTACGTGGATGGAGAGGTGCGATGTAGGTGTGAGGTAGGTGCGAAGGCTAGGTGCGAAGTCCCCGATCGTATCAAAAGTCCCCCCCCCCCCTTGCGTACGAAGTTTTGAATCTGATGAAGTAATCAAACCTATGGTGATTTTCGAAAAGAAAATTATCTCAAATATCGCGAAAAGTAATTATTTTAAAGCGGGGTCCAAATAAGAAGTTTATCGAAGATTCAAACGAAACAGCTCATCCAAACTGTTTTTGACGGAGAAATAGTCGAGGATATGTTGATAAAGCTAACAGAGATCAAGATGTACTTTACGCTTCTCATAATTTGTCCTTTCTTGAGGTTTTTGACTTTACTGCTGATCGTACCTCTAAGGGGGTAAACTCTATTCTTTTTCCATATATCCAATCTAATGCCATGTTAAGACCACATGGTGTGAAATTTTCTTGCTCTGCTCGTAGGTGGTCCAACTTCAGAAGTGTACGGTCATCTGAATACAGGTATAGAAAGAGTACGGCGATCCGGCATAGAAATTTGGCAAGCTTCTTCTATATCAGGGTTTTTTTGAACAGCCATCGTAAAGAGATAAGTCCCCTCCCCCCCCCCCCCCTTTCCGGATTCTTTTTTGGCTTTGTTGCTAAGGAACATAGACAACGCACATTCGTTCGCAAGCATTGCAAGCACTGGTGATTTTTCCAGTAATTTCCTATGCATTCTATATACGGTATCGTCGAGCTTCAAACTTCTATCGGTGTTTCTGTTTCGCCTGTATGGCGTCTAAAACAGTACTGCTTCGTTTAGAGTATGATTCGACAAGGACAGTGAACCTTTTGCGTATTTTCAATGGCAAGAATGATGTCTTGGACGCTCATCTCCTCAGCAGGAGCGCAAAGAAAGTACCGTTGAATGAAAAATGAACCTCATTCTTGGAAGTTCCTCGAAAACAATTCGATCCATTGCGATAAACATTTAGTCGACTTGCTCTCATTATTTTATGTTCTAACCAAAGTTCTGGTTCAAGTCTAGCCTTTATCGATAACAAGTGAATCATCACTGCTCAACAACTAGATATCAGCGATCCCGAGTTTTGTAATCAAATGAACAATGGAACAGCTGGAGATCCCTCTCCGTTTCTTCCAATGTGTCTTGCTAGTTGTTATTTGCTTTTTTTCTACAAGTGCTACCCTTCACCTAGAGCCGTTCATCACTCTGATCAGCTGCTCAGCTTTTTTTCTGTCTGAATGTACACTGACAGCAACGTTTAACTCAAAGTAATCAGTGTTTTGTTGCGTTTCGCGATTTTCTAATTCTTACAATATGTGATTGTGTCTAATATATTTCCTACTGAACTCAATAAATTCTGGAAACTGATCTAGTTGTTCCAGTCTTAGTCATGTAAATTAAGGTACGTAGGAAGATTGAAGCTACTTGTAATGCAAAAAGGCAAAATCTCATATTTATATTCTTTGAGCCTGAGCAAATGCGCACTACTACGTATGTATCATACAATCCAGAAGATGGAATATATTTCCGGAACGCAAAGAAGTAGCATTAGAAATTTGGAGGGTCCCGTAAATTCAATGAGCTATATCATCAGTCGATCAGCTCATATCGGCTATACTTTTGAAGAGATTTTGATCTCCGGATCAACGATTCGATTCACTCAGAGTCGTAAGAACCAATACGGTTATTGCTATGACCCCTTTTGTAAACAAAATAATACTATCAAAGCCCAGTGGATGTTTGCGCAAATCATTGGTAATATTTGCGAATGAGGAAAAACTAATATGCGCACAATCGGTCACGGTCGTCGAATGTGATCGAGCAAAATTCATATATAGCAGCTTCCCAAAGAAATCCTACATTTGCTTTACTATGAATGAATTTCATCCAAATATATCCTTTTATTCGTCTAGAGTAGTCCTTATCAATTGAATAGTGGAAGTGAGTCGTATCAATAGAAACAAACTCAACATCAAATTTATGTGGTCCCTCTGGCTTATAAGAAAGCTGATTCGCTTGTGCGCCCAAATAAGAATTTTTTGGCGTTTACTCAGAAATAATTTGGACGTTGGTGAAGTGAAGCGAAAAGGAAAGACTAGTGTTAAGAACCTATAACGTAAACTTACATTTTCCAGAAGATCATCTTGACGGGAACAACTTGCTTTTGTCACATAATTCTTACATTCCATCACTTACTGCATTGTCATACGGCATTTCTTATGTAAGTATTTTACGGAGCCAAGTTTTTTGATTAGTCCACACAAAATAAGCTTTTATTCACCCATGAAAAATAATCAGTCAAAACTAACGAAAATATGTGATTCTCGCAAATCTTTCGTCTATCTAGAAGAATTATATAGATATTTGTTGCGACAACCGAACATCAGCCGCCATAGCTCAGTCGGTTAGAGCGTGGGTCTAATAAGCCCAAGGTCGCAGGTTCGACCCCTGCTGGCGGCAAAGTTTTACGATCTCTCAGACTGCCAAGATAAGTTGATGCAGTGAGCAGTAAAACTAGACAATTTTTCACTTTTAAGTATAGAATCTAAAAATTAGTGAGCGCTGAAGAAATAGAGTTTCAACCAAATAACCAGCGAGAATAACAGTTTGCCAACACTAGTTGACTTAGAGGCATTTTTGAGCAAACTTCTCTTTCTTTACTTCGTCCGTTAAATGGATTTACAGAAGCCATAAATGATTAAGCGACAGTGAACGACAACTAAACTTTATTTTCTGTATTCGTACCATACATAAGTACAAGTAAGCATATGCATCTCTTTTTTGGTCAATAAAGTCCTGACTTCCGTGGAATATTCATTTCTTCCCACAAACAACAAATGAGTCAAGAGTTGAGAAATCGTGCGGATCATTTTTTTTCAAATCACTTCGAGATATGTGTCATTGTAAAATAATAGAAATCACTGTGTTTTGGATGACTCACCGTTAGGCCCGCATTAGTTTTTCCCGAAAATCGTTTAATATCGGGGAGCGAAAGAAAAACATTGGGCGCCCGTCATCTCAAGGTTTTTCGCCGCGTCAGTAAACAGCGACACTCAGAACTTCGATATGTACAACGTCTCCACTGTGTGTGGGGGCACACAGGTGCCTGGCATCGTTGTTTCCGTCTGATGACCTTTGACGATGGCATGGCGAAGCGGAGCGGAACCAGTTACGCCGCTGTGCTTTGTCACCGCCAAGATGCGCATATAAACACTGCTGTTGGGTGACGGTGTAGTAACATTTGCTTACGTTTACACTTCACTCCAAAGCCTTCGTATTTTGATAATATAGCTACCGTACTATCGTACTCTACTATCGTACTTTCCCTGGATCAATAACTCCTGTAGGTTTGATGCAAAAATTCGGTGAAATTGAAGCCGTCGTAAATTTTTGTCTCTGCTTGGGTGTCACTTATCCTCAGACGGCTAGAAAGCTTCCACGCCTTTTAACAGAATTGTAATTTGCTAAAAAAAATGTAAGTGCTTAAAAAACTGCTTCAAAACTTCATAGACAGTTTGGAATATGATTTTATAGTAATCAAATCCTCAAAAAGCTTATCGAATTAAATATTTGCGAAATCTGCCAGTAGCTGAGCTACTCAGCCCAGACTTTTTTTTCAATTTGCGATAATTCATTTCTCCTACTAGGCAATGTTATTACTTTGTTAGAAGAAATTTCATGACTGTCGAGTCAATTTCACTATTAGTAAAATGAAGTTTCTAGTAGTAAATGCAGACGTATACAAAAATCCAAACACCCTAAACTATGAGGAAATCCCCACTTACTAAATTGGTGCAAAAACTTACAATGCACTATAGGATGATAACTAGTCACTGACAAATTCGCCATACTCTTTTCAACTCTCGTTGAGGATTTTCTTAGTTTTTCTTACTTTTTTTTGTATGAACTCTCCAAAATTGAGTGGAGTGAGTTACAGTTGTCGCACAACAGCAGTTCCTTAATGGCCTTGAGAATTCCTTCTACGGTCACTCTGTGCAGCAACGTCCACGCCATTGCAAGACTTATTTATTACGTACATTTCTGTGAATCACAAAACTGGTAGCGGGCGGAGACAATGTGACCAAAAAAAAGATAATAGTTCTGTTGATCGCAAAATAGATCTCGCCTTGATCATTGATCACGTTTCGAATCGTAGGCTGCGGTTATTCAGTTTACATCTGTTCATTGTTTTGTCATTTTTGATTGTAAATAGCCGTCGCATTCACAAAAACTTTTATAATGTTAGGTTGTAAATAAAATCACACGGAAGAAAGTGGTTTAAATATCCGTGCTATCGTTTTCAATTTTGGTAAAACTTTGAACTTACGATTTGACAAATTGACTGGTTTTTATTTTATTTTTTGGATGTAGGAAGCTTGTAAATATACATATACATAAGATAATTTGTAATAAAGAAGTTTCTACGTCAGTTCAACTACACTTTTTTACACAAAATGTCGAACCAGTAGATTCTCTGTGTACAGAGAAACTGTTTACTGAGGGATATTCATTTTTTCCAAAGCTTGCAAATGAGCTTTGGCAACAACCAGCATAACGAAACAGAAAAAAACTTTTCCCAATCGACGTTCGTTTGAGTCAGCGAATAGAATAAATATCACTTTCACGCGTACGTTACATAAATTTACATTTGTTAGACGCTAAAGCAATGTTTTCCTGCTTCTCATTCTTATGTCTTATCGAAGCTATATACGCTATGTTGCATAATATTTTATTACATTGTTTCTTTATTAAAATTGCAGATGAAGTCCTTCCTATTGCTGCTGGCTGTTGTGCTCGTCGCCGTTCATGCAAAAATGCAGAACGTTACGGTAAAGGGTACTACTATTTGTAATAAGAAGCGAATGGCTGACGTTTTGGTGGAACTGTGGGAGAGAGATACCCGTGAGTTATTTTCGCATTTTCGAAATGGAGTTATCAAGCTAGAAACTCCTATCTTATTCTTCAAACCTAGTCAACGTGGTTGGTGTTCCCTTGACCCACTGTAAGCAGTAACTTATTTGCCAATAAATTCTGATACATTGCTTTTCAGTCGACCCCAACGACCTTCTTGATTCAAAGATGACAGCCAAAGAAGGCGAATTTCTTGTAAAAGGAGGACAAGATGAAGTTGGCTCTATTGAGCCATTCCTTAGAATTACGCACACTTGCAATGTGAAACCGGTTTGTTACATTATCACCTCATTTCTCCATCGACAGCTCAAACCAGTAGATTTAGGGCTGCAAACGAATCACAGAGTATGACATCCCAAAATCGAAAATCGACACCGTCTATGATATGACGTATGTGACGCTCGATATCATCTCTGCTGTAGACAAGGAACAATGCTAAAGCGCAACGATGTTCGTGCAGCAAACTCTTGTATAAACATTTTGTAATATCGATCTGTAATGATAATGTCTGCTTGAATAATAAAAGATTTCTTATATTTGTTCAAAATGATGTTTATCAGGAAAAAGAAATGGAACCAAAGGTAATAGTTGTGGTTGGAACAGTAATTTGAACTGTATTTGTAGTGAGCCCGATCGTAATATCGACAGTCCATCGCACAGAAAAATCACATAGCTCCAAATCTACTTGGCTTAAACTATTGATTTCATGACAAGTAACATAATAAAGGGCCCTTAGCAAAGCTGCCTTGTCGATTTCAAATGAGGCAGCTTTAGATCTCAACCTGATCTGAGGCTCACATGTCAGGTGACGTTCCCATTCTTAAACCACGGAGAAGTAGGCGGTCGTCATTTCACCTGACGGAACCTTACATGAGGGCTTCAGGGGAGATCATCTGCAGGGCGTGGGTTGTGGCACGCCACACCTGGGGGGTCGTAGAGAGGTCAGGAAGAGGGAGGGGTCGTTATCAAGGTGATAGTCACGCACAGTGAGCATAAAAGAAATCCTGAAAGCATAAAAGCACCATTTTCGTAATTAGCAATTAGCATATCAGATAGCCCCTGAGGGCCAAGTTCAGCGAGTTTTGAGGTTTCCAAATATTGGGACACTCAAGTGATGTGGTCATTTCGACATGCTAACTTCGTTTCAAAGATGAGTAAACTACTTCTTTTTGCACTCATTACATGGTACTACTACATCTTCGTATTAGGAATCCTGCTTCAACTAGTTTTCAAACTCTGGAATTAAGAGCAAGCTAAAATCTCCTTGTCCCATTTTTCGCTTACAATTTCTCAGAGCACAGAACACCAATCAGGTTCAAATCACTTTTGTGAGAGTTACGAGGATCAGGCTATCGATTTGTTCTTGTCGCCTACCCTCGCGATTCATGTAGTAGTGCAGACTTAGCATATTACTGTATCCAATATTTTCGCAGTGTTCTCCATTTGCTTAGCTATAGATAAACGACTATACCTTTCCATAGGAGAAACAATTTTGCATGAAATTCCTGCTATATGGAGAAGAGGGTTTAGCACTAGCAACCATATAAGAAAGACAGAGATTTGAATGCTTTAAAGGTAAGTTAATGGAGTGTGGCACAACCCCTGAAAAGCTGTGGCTGCCACAGCTTTTTATGGGTTGAGCCACACCCCATTAACTTGCTTCCAAAAAGAATTTTAGCGAACATAATACATATTTTATATAGGCTGAGTCTTGAAGTTTCATAAGAGTAATTTGGGCCTGATTCGTCTTCTTCGCTCTGAGTGAAAGCTGGTAAAGCGCTGCCAGTGGAAGCGAAAAATGGGACAAATAAGAATTTGGCCTGCTTCTAAATCCAAGTTTGATGGTTATTTGAAGCAAGATTTATGGTATGGGAAAATAGGGAGTAGTGCTTTGTATTGAGTACAAAAAGGGTCAGCTAATTCGCTTTCGAAATATAGTTAATCATCTTCAAATATGTTCACTTCACTTGGGTGGCCCAATATTGGATATTCTCAGAATTTGCTAAAACTTGCCATGGTGTTATTTGACATGTACGGTGGAGGGGGGGGGGGGGGAGTACTGAGACAGAAGAGGGGGGAGGAGGGTATCCGGCGCTTGTGTGCCACACCTCTTGCTCGAACCCTGATCATCTGATCTGATCGAGCTTTACTACGGGCCAGAGAGTGGCGCCAGGAAACCGTAAAGATAAAATTGAACCCTCATAGAACAAATCCTATTGTTGAACCTTCGTACGATGAAAATTTACCTATGGTTGCGGTTTTACAATGTCGTGTTAGATCACGATGCATAGAATGTTTATGTTTATTAGCATAGACTGTTTATGTTTATTAGCATACGACCCATTAGGCAGGATAGAGTTCTAATCTGACTTTCGAGCTAGAAAACTACTATTGATGTCTAAAGCGGAATGCTTTAGATGATTGGCAGCTATGTCCTGGAGAATTTTTAAGAAAAGTTTCAAAGAAAGGGCGAAGTCTTTCCGATCCTTTATGGTAAGCGCATTCCAAACTTATGCACTTTGTTCACTCTGTTCGCTTTGCCAAGTGACAAATCAGTAGGTAACGCCGCCTTTTGTCTCAAAAAAGTCAAATGGGTGAAGTGGATGAAGTGGCGAAGGGTTACGCCTAAGCTTTCAAGTGGGGTAATGCATTTTTAGTTCGTTTGTAAGCATTTGCAGAACTCTAGGCGCAATATACTTCTAAATCTTCATGTAACTGTATTCGTAATGTTCATGTTCCTGATTCTCAATGAGAATAGATCAATCAAAAAACACTGTTATTCGCTGTGCTATTGTTGTTCAGTGAGATTCTGAAACATGTGAAATCCAAACCAATTCTTTTATACGAAGACTGGCTATCTGCAAGACCTGGCACGATGATAGCAGGTGTCAAGCTAAGAAAGCTTTTTATGTTATGAGAAGAATAAAACAAATTTGTCAAGTTGTGATTTCAAGCAAAACGTACGACGGGATATCTGAAAAATTAAACGTGCAAGATGTCTGGCCTTTTTGATCAATTGTTGTTTTGAAGGACATGAATTTCTGATTTTTAATTTGTTTATAATATCTGTGCTGCGCTTGTGGAACGGACCATGTAGGTTATTGTGCAAAATCATAACCATGATTTAAAATCCGGGACCCTATTCGACGAGGAAAAAGCAGTTATTACTGTCAGAGCACTAGGAGTACTTTGATCACGCTCAGGGCCCGGCTCGAGGTTGTCAAAAGGGATTTTCGAGAACGAATTCCCCTTTGAGCAGAATTTTTTTTACGAATTCCCCTTTGACTTGAAAATTGGTCCCAGTGATTGCGCAATGAACACTTTACCCGAGGATCAAGATTTATTGAAGAAAAAAGAAAAAAGAAAAAAGTGCATTCATAACAAAGGAAGAACAAATGAGATTCGATCAGAGATCTCTGGAGTGAATGACAATTGGACCGACAGCTGGGAAGGGGGGGGATTCAGCCACAGCTTTCTCTTTTCCCGTGGCTTTCGCAGCATCAACAGCTTCTTGCACCACGTCTATTAGTTCCTTCTATAAAGCACAAGCATGGACGGGAAAGATGTAAAACAGCCAACTACAAAGCACCGCTCAATATCACCGACCTTCGCCGCATGAATCGCTTCTGTTGACGTTCCAGCAATTTTCGTAGACGTCGATGCTATCTCTTCTACGGCAACACGTTCTTTCTCTCCTTCGGCCAGCACAACTTTCTGAAAAATGTAAAAAGGATAATCTCTAAAAAGTCAAAAATATCCTTTCTCCCGCGAAAAATACAAAAAAGGTATGTGTTACCTCCTTATCCTTCTTTATCAGATCAAGCCTAGCTTCGTGCTCCACTTTTCCATTTTCGAGGTCTATTAATTTCTGACGCGGGCTTTCAGCAATGCCTCAATAGACTGAAATTTATTGAGATACCTTCTAGCAAGTATAACGCTCTCGACAATAGTAGAAGAGATGGGGCTATCTTGTCATTAAGCGATAGTTCCAGCCACTGTCCCAACAAAAAACCATTTATATCTAAGAAGCCCTTCGAGCAACTGACCTGTCTTCTCAACCTCTTCACTCAAACCGATGGCACGTACACCTCTAGCGCGGCAAGCTTGTTGCAGATCAAGCGTATTCAGCGATTCAACACCTTCTTCGGCAGCGGCTAAAAAATCGATATTCACAACCTAAATATCATGAGAAGGGGACTTCAAAATACCTTATCGTCAGCTTTGAGTTCGCGTAACTCCCTGTGAAGCTGGTAACGGAAGATTTCCGGGCTCCCGAATGGTTGGACGGACATCACTCGACACAGTGAACTGCAAAATACATTGCTAGGCGGCCATAGGTTCGCCGTGTTCGCGATGCGTTGTTGGTGTTGTCGGGATCGGCCACACTATTCCAGATGATTCCTGCTATTCCTGCTATTCGTGTGATTCCCGCACATGCGCCGCTCAAACGAGCGCGTGTTGCGTTTGTCATTGTTACCGACAACCGCGAACACCACGAACACTGCGAACCTATGGCCGTTCCCTTAGAGAAAGCACCGACAACACCGCGAACACGGCGAACACCGCGAACACGGCGAATACCGCGAACACGGCAAATACCACAACAACGGCGAACACCGCGAACCTATGGCCGAAGCCTTAGCAAAGCAGAAACACACAAAATAGAACTACCACACTTGAAAAATGAAAAAGAATATGAAAAACAAAAACACGATAATCATAGTGGAAATTTTACCTTTAAGGATCCTTAGCAGTAAGACATACATGTGCCTCTGCTAATGCCTGCATCCAGTATGCACATACTGTGACATCTTCGCTCGACGGAGATAGACTCAGAGCTTTTACGAGCAGAACATTTGTCTCAAACGCGTCAAATGGTTGACGTTGTAAGCACCGATAAAGGCATTGCAATGCGCTGCACTTTACCCAAAGAGAAAGGAAACAGGCTTAGCAATACACATATACTAAACGATAAAAATCGTTGTCCTACCTAATGCTGTCGTAAGAGCGGCAAAGTACTCCACATCTGTTTCTTTGCATAAAAAATAAGTTCAAAAAGCACACCGTAGGCTGACAATACTAGAAGAAATGCATGATGTTACAAACTAGAATAATTCTGTTCACTTTGGCAATCAAAACCATGCCAATAGAAGTTCACGAATATAACTTTTACATATTTTAGCACTAGTCATTTAAAAAAATCAAAAATCAAGATGGTATGCAACATCAGCACGCTGATGAATAACAATGAGAGCAAAGAAGGAAGGTGAAAAAGTGGAAATAGCGTAAAAAACAGCAATAGGTAAGTGACGAAACACAGACGCCGACGCGAAGGGACTCAGCGATATGCCGTTCGATTGGAGCACGCTTTCCTCCTAAGGAAACGGGGCTGCTGGAGCTATTTTTGGCTCTAGCAATGAGGAGACGAGGAGGTTTGAAACCAAAATTTCAATATATACTAATGTTTAGGTGTAGAGTAGATTTATGTAAAAATTTTGAAAAAATTATGTGAATTGAGAGTTTTGACAAGCTCAGCTTGTCATTAGCTTGTCAAATGACAAGCTAATTTGGAAATAAGTTAAGCACGCTCTTCATTCACATAAGTTTTTCATAATATTTCATACTTTGTTACATAATCCTACTGCGCATATACACACCAAATCCCGCGCAAGTTCGTCGCCTCTGCGTTGCAAACGGGCCATTTCTCCATTTTTTGGTAGCGGGAAATTTTCAGAAAAAAGTTTGCCAAGACCTTCAGTCACATAATTTTTCAATGAAGCTCCTAAGTTAATTCCTACAGGCATGTGTCCACGTACATAGCAAGTTTCACACCATATCGTCACCTGCGCGTTGCAAACGAGCCATTCGAATTTACATCTTCATTTACAAACTTTGCAAAGTTCTCGGAAAAATGCTTATTACTCGTTCCGTTCACATAAGTTTTTCATAAATTTTCATAATTTGTTTCCGCTAGCCTCTCTTTGTTTGCTTACAAAATTTGGTGCCATATCGTTATGCATACACTGAGAACTAGTCATGTATGCTGTTACGAATAGTATCGTTTGAGCGACGTCGCGCGTCCGGCATTTAGCGACGGCGGGGTTTGACGCGCGCGAACTCCAGTGTTCGCCTGTCGAGGTCACTTAACATGTTAAAATAAGCAGAGAACGTGCACTACCAATTTTCCCTGGGCTTCGCCCCGGACCCCGCGATAACGGTATCCCCTTTGCTTTTTGACCCCAAAACGATTTCCAGCTTGTCATTTGACAACCTCCTGCCGGGCCCTGATCACGCTACTACTTCATCCGAGAATAGCGGCTTGGCCTTTCACGTAGGTGAACTTAACCGTTTCGGCTAACGACTCTACTCAATGCGTCGAAATCCTAGCGCCCAATTCTGCCAAGATACTGGCCGGGAAGACTGCAAGTTTTTTCGCCTCAGCATTTTTTTTTATTAAAGTGACGTCTGTGATTTATTGCTCAAAGAAACCAGCATTTTATGCCTTGCTAAACAACATACAGAGTCGCTTCGACTTACAATAAGTATCTTTCCTTGCAGATAGTCTAACAATAATCCAAGTATTAGAACCGACAATTTGAATTGTTTATGCAGAATGTGTTATTTAAAAACGTCGTACTTCAGCATTTCTCTTTGTCCACAGCGCCGATAATATCCAGCGGTACATAAGTCATGTCATAGACGACTCCAATTTTCGATTTTGGGATGTCAAATTCTGTGATTCGTTTGCAACCCTAAATTCGATTTTTGAGCTGGTCGATGTAGTAAAAAAAATGTGATATTGTAACAAACCGGTTTCACATTGCAAGTGTGAGTTATTCTGAGAAATGGCTCAATGCCGCCGATTTCACTTTGACCTCCTTTTACAAGAAATTCGCCTTGTGCATTCGTCTGCACTGATTCAAGAAGGTCATTGGGGTCAACTGAAAAGCATCTTATCAAATTAACATTTCTGTTTTCAAGAGATTTGTTTGGTAATAGTGAGAATGGAAAAAAACTGGGATTAGATGTTACGAAATTCAACTACAAGATGAAACAGCTCACATCTGTCTCTTTCCCACAGTTCCACTAGAACGTTAGCCATTCGCTTCTTGTTACAAATAGTCGTACCCTTAACCGTGACGTTCTGCATTTTTGCGTGAACGGTGACGATCACTACAGCCAGGAGCAATAGGAAGGGCTTCATCTGTAACACTAGCAAGAGAAGATGTGGAGACCTTTTATGCTTACGCGCGCATATATTTATACATTGCATACCAATAAGACATAAAGAACGGAATATGGTACACCCTTCGTCACGTCTAAGAAATGCAAATTCATATAGCATTTGACTGGAAATAACATGTTCTTGGCTGAGTCATACGTCTTTTATTGTGCACATGCTTTAGATTTTTCTTGACGGATGAAATTCCTGCTATATATATATGCAACGTTTCTTCAACAAAATCAGGAGCACATATCATCGAAGCACCACAAAGGTACATGCTTTTTTTGCAATTCGTCATTGAAATGCTAAATTTTAAAAAAATCATTTCAAAGGCTTATTTACTGTTGTTTACTCACAGAAGGAGGGTGTATGTCAAGAGGCGCGATTTTTATTGCCAGTTGGACACCAAATAGTACATATTAAGTGTTTTATAACATTTTAAAGGTCTTTAAATTTCTTAAAAAGATATATTAGATAGTTGCAAGGATTCCTCAGTCTTGCTACCTTGAACTAAATTCAAAAAAGCAATTTTGAAGGTCAAGAACCCATGAAAATGCAGTTGAGAACAAACTTGTAAATATTTTGGTCCGTTTTCCAGCAAAAGCCAGCAAACTCAGCAAGCGGTAACCTCATACAGCTAGTAAGCTAATGCACTTTATTTGGTACTTTTTGAAGACTCGCATACCACTAGACTGAAGTTTTGAGTTGGTGACAGCCGGAGAAATCGCGCTTCTTGACCGTCTCCCACCGATGGGGAACTATGTTTTCTAACGCAACTAAAAGTTTGTCCAACGTGATTTCGAAGAGAAGTTGAGAAACAAAAAAAAAAGGTTTATTGCAGATCTCAATCATCAAAGAATGAGCTTCAATAATTGTCATCGAAAAACTCAAAGTTACAATGGATAATAATTTGCTCGAGTTGCTTTGAGCAAAAATGCCGAAAATGTTTTCACAAAGTTGTATTATTGAAATAATTGGAACAAACCATTTGTTTATCAAGGATGTCAAGCGAAAATCGTTTTATAAAAAAGCAAAAAAGTATCATAATTCCAGTAAAGACAAAGTATAATAATTCCACTAAAAATAAACATACGTACCCTTTATAAAAGTTCTGACAAAACTGATGCATGAACACGATCTTGCTTGAGGCGTCTATTTCAGCCAGGTTTTTTTTGCGATAGTGAACAGCTGACTCTTTTACAGCGAAATGGGAAAATTTACTTCATTGAAGGTTGTGCAAGCTCTTCCTAAACTTCATTAACGAAGGTAGAAAACAACTCGGTCGCAAGCCACATTTTTCATATAAACCCCATACTAATTAACGACATGTCCGCAAACTTGATGTGCATAATGCAATGAGAGCAAGAGTAAAGTATGGGTTTATATGGAACTTATGAAAATGAGAAGTTGTTTTGCCAGATTAGATGGCAATGCCACTCTAAGGCACCTTAGGCGTAATAAATTGATTCACTCAAAATTCCGTAATTTCTATAGAGGGTGTTCTAAAAGTAAGTACACACTTTGCCGCTAATCACTCTCTTCTCGAAAAGTCTTTTGCTTGGCCTCAGATACCACGCAGTAGAGCAGGTTTCAGCCTACGATTTCCACAATATGCAGTGAATCAACCATCTCTCTTCTTTCCCGTAAGATCGCGGTAGGTACAATGAAGAGAGTTTTGAGCCATAATGGCCGCATTTTGATTCAGAATGTATATTGAACAAGCTGGAAAATTTTTTATTAAGCTAAACTGAGGCCGTAAGGCTTTTTTCGTAAATTGTGCCAGATAAATCGCAACAACATTCTTCTGTGAATTCAGATCTGCAATATTAAATCACTTAATATGTTCAGAAAACTTATAAAAACGTGTATGATGGCATCAGCATGCCTGACTGGCATTTTCTGAACGACCTACTTCACACAGGCGCTGTATGCTAAAAATTTTTCCCGTAATCCTACAGTAATAAAAAGCGACGGGTGATTTGCTTGATACACTAAATCAAGCTGAAGCCTGCTCTACCGAGTGGTACTTGAAGGCATTGTTTGGGCAAAAATCCGATTTCTAGCAAGTTCATTACCGGGGTTATCTGCAACGGTGAATCCATGTTACAAAGCGCGAGAAGTGCGGGAAAAGGAGCTTAGAGCCTCATAGTTTCAATTTAGACAACTTCCGCCAAAGCTGTGATGCAAGCCGCTGCGTAGACTAACACTCCAACCGTGGAAACATGCGTAATTTGCCGGGCAGGAAATTAGAAAGGTAAAGGAACCCTCCCCCCCCCCCCCCCAAAAAGATAAGTTTCACTTTCCAACCTATTTCTCACTTCTGTCAAACGTTATGGCTTCGCACTTGCTCGATGGTGAGTCTGAGGGGACACATTGCCGTATAGCCCCAAAATTTCAACACCCGACCCTGACACTGCCTTTAAAGTTAAACGAATTTTGTGAGAAGAGAGTTAGAAAACGGTGTAGTTACTTTTGGAACACTCTTTTGTGGCAAGTAAGTACAGAGTGTAACCTTTGATTCAACTGCCTTGGCGGCTGGAAGGCGGAGATTTGTGATTTGATTAAGGTCCCGCGCCCGTGCTCTCTGACCATTACTTAGCCTTGAAGGCAGTGTCCAGGCAAATCTGGGCATATGGGTTGTTTGCCGACGAGGCTTTAGCTGAAGCACCGCCAAAAAGTCAGCCTAAACTGTTTATTCACTGACTGAGAAATCCATCCCCAAACACTCCGTGGCTGCGCCGTGACCGTACCCTTAGGATCCAGCGCGAACATAGAGTTAAAATGAGCGCAATCGCTTTCGGGTTACTGTCAGGCGCAGGCGGGGGGTTTTGGGAGACGATTTTTCAGCCGTGAATGAACAATTTGAGCTGCCTTTCGGGCAGTGCCTGTTGGGAGGACCCCCTCAACAAGAAAGACCCATGCGCTCAGATTTGCTTGGACACTACCTTTGATTAGGTCAAAAAGCCCCACCTTACAGCCGCCAAGCTCGTTGAATTAAAGGGTACAATATGTATTCCGAATCGTATGTTTCAATGATCCCTTTCTGTGGCCGTATCAACGAATTCAATGGGTCTAGAACCCGTGAGTTCATGAACCCAGGAGTTCCCGAGGGTTCGTGAACCCACTGGGTAAGATCGGTATTTGCAAGTGCACCGCTGGATTCGTCAACCCATGACGTCATCAATGTGTTTCTCTAGTCGTTTTCTATTTTTCTCATCTCTGGACACGCACGGATCGCGCTAGATTGAAAGCGCCAGCACGCTTGGCATGCTTTCAGGAACTCTTATGTTCGGATGAATGACATCAATCAATGTCTTTTGTACTGCAGAACTCGCATTTCCTTCATCCGTTCTTTGTCCGAGTATTCTCTCGGACCCAGACATGACTGTCGACTATAATATGTGTAAAAAGAGATGCAAAAAAGGAGTCTACGCTTTTTGTGCAAGCAAACTTTCTTGTTCAGCAATGTCCCTTACCTCAGAAAGATATTAGCCATATTTTTAAAGACTGCACGACATAGCTGACCTAAACGTGTTGCGTAGTTTGATTGTCATGCAGGGAGTAGCTAAGTTTTATTTTATGGAGGACTTGCTATACATAACAGTATATCTGTGCCTTTTTTCAGTCTCCTACTTTCAAACGGAATTTTCAGCATCCGTAACAAGGTGCATATCTGCAGGAGACACACAAGTTTTGTCCATTTGTATTTTCTGTGCGAGGAGCTCGAATGGCGGGGGGAGTACGTTTTCCTTAAGGATCATCGACGAGTTCTAATATCTTTATAATGTAAACTAATAGTTATACCAATGATTACCTCATTCCCTTCCCCTTGATTTTTACTCCACGAAATTGAAGGAGCAAACGACTACAAACTAATGACTAAAAACCGCTTTTTTCTTCTTTTTTAAGCGTTTGTCTGCTAACTTGATCGGATTGGGGGCCAATATTTTATTAGTTTGCAGAATAGGCGAACATAAACAAAAATGGACAAATGAGCAAAGTCTTCGAAAGAATAATTTGTAAACAGATTTGTGCATTTTTCATTAGTAACCATCTTGTGCACAAAGCACAACATGGTTTTCTACCCAAAAGATCTACATTATCAGCTTCAATGTCAACGGTACCCTTGTGGCAGAAGCAACGGAGATGGAAAAAGAGTTGTAACAGTCTGCTGTATAGATTATAAGAAAGCCTCTGACTCCGTGCCCTTAGCTCATCTCTTTACAAAAGTGGAGGCTTACGGTATTAAAGGCTGCTATTGCGATTCCTCAAAGCATTCCTGCTTAAAGGCAGTGTCCGGGCAAAAACTCGATTTTGAGATTTTGTGCTTACCCGGGCCTATTCGCTATGCTGAATCCGAAAATCCACATTGGAGAGCGCGAAAACGACGAAAAAGGGCTCTAATACTGGAGGGAAATCAGCAAGTAGGCGGGGTCTTCCCCACAGTGAATTCACGCTCCCAGCTTCGGGGGCGATCTTTTTGATTCCGGTTTCAAGTCATTCGTTTGCACTTGATCGGTAGTGATGTCGGGGCGGCTAATGGATTCGAGAAAATTGCTCTGGAAGCTGAAAGCGTGAATTCACAGTGGGGAAGACCCCGCCCACTTGCTGATTTCCCTCCAGTGTTAGAGCCCTTTTTCGTCGTTTTCGCGCTCTCCAATGTGGATTTTCGGATTCAGCATAGCGAATAGGCCCGGATAAGCACAAAATCTCAAAATCGAGTTTTTGCCCGGACACTGCCTTTAAAGGCAGTACATCGGCAGAATGAGACCCGTGACAAAACAAGTTCACAGGGTAAGAGCCCCCATATGGAACCTATCGGCCCAAGTCCGATCTTTCTCTGCCACTTCAAACCCACGAAATTTCAAAGCGAAAGCAGCGCTCATCTCCTGTCCTCTCCAAACCCGCCCACCCCATGGACGAGTGACTTCCACGGTCAGAGCGCTAGCCGCAATGCTATAAGCACGAGGTCCCGCAAC